AGTGCTAAATTTACAATTTGTGATAAAGCTATGACTCTTAGTCCAGAACAATGGCTACTAACACACCATTATCTTCAATGTCAGAATGATGAGAATTTTGAAAAAATAAAAAGTCTATTTCTCCAAATTAAACTCAGTAAAAATAATTCTAAGCCAAAGACCAATCCAGGGAATGTTGCACTGATCTATGAAATTCAACGACCTTTTATAGCTGGTGATATAGTGACAGTTTGGCTAGGAAAGTCTCTTAAAGAGTGTCTCCCAGTACCAGCTATTCAATTAATGGAGATAGTACCAACAGTTCGTGTGTGCCTTCATCATAACAAATATCCTTCTCTCTGCTTCTCTGATATCCAGCTGCAAAATGCATCACTTTCTATGGCATATCATTCAATAGAACAGTATGTTCAGCTTTGGAGTAAAGTCTTCATTGCAGAATCTGTTTATGACAGTGTAAGGGCAAAGAATCTCATATTCATCAGACATGCTCCTCTAAAGTGGAACAAATTTACTCAAATTAATAATTGTGTTGATGATCCTTACTATATACCAAAAGATGATGTTTCTCTTGTCATACCTCCTAAGAATCAAGACTCATTGGATTTCATTAGTATCAAATCTGGTGACTTCTTTTGTGTTCGATATGAGATTAGTGATAGCCTCAATGCTGTCTATCACTTTGTTGTAACCAAAGTGAAACAAAAAGAAAATAAAAAAACAAAGAAAAAGGATGAAGACGTTATAATAAGAATGTGTGCTGAAGGTGACCACTCATGTAGAGTTACAGAGAATATGTATCAAGAATTGAAAAAAGGAAACCAAACTTGTGAGATACAAATAATACCAATGCCAGATTCTTTTCAGTAAGTATTGAGACAATTTATGATTTGGTTTTATTACATAATTTTACCATTTATAGCCGAGTATATGCAAGACTGAAGGAAGTGTTAAGTGTTAACAGCGAGTGGTCTAGCCTTTCTAAAAAAATTCCAATTTCTGACACAAAATCAAACAGTTTTAATAAACTCTCTGCTACGAGAAGTAAATTCAGATTTTTAAAATTAATTTTATTTGCCCTTCAGAGGTAGTTGAAATTTCACTCAAAGTATTTAATGATGATCCACTAGCAAAGCAACTATGGAAAGGGGAGAGTGGCATTGAATTAAATCCTATACAGCAAGATTCAATTAAAAGAGCACTGACAAATAGTTTTCAGTTGATTCAAGGACCTCCAGGTAATGAGAGCTTTGGACTGTGCTAGATTTGTGTGTGTAATAGGTACAGGAAAGAGTGAGACTGGGGCTCATTTGGCTTACATTTTCTCAGTAACAAATAAAGAAATGCATGCATCTGAAAAGGATCCAATGTCTTGTAAGAAGGCTGTACTGTATTGTGGTCCCTCTAACAAATCAGTAGATGTGGTTCATAGTAAGTAATTTATATGGAAAAAGTGTCTTTAGTTATCTTTATTATTTATAGAGAACCTGCATTTGTTAAATGAAAAGGTTTTAAACAACAAATTAAAAATTCTTCGTATTTATGGACGTACTCATGAGCGTAAGGATTACCCAGATCCTGTTTTTGATCTGACACAAGAAAGAACAGACAGAGATGATGATGGTGGTGGTCGTGTTTTAGATGAGTTTCGGAATGAATCATTACATAAAATAATAAGGCACAATTGCCTTGACATAGAATCTACTAAGAACAGACTACAAGAACTACTAAATGAAGGTATCATCCCATCAGCAAATG